TTTTTATWTCAARCAAGACCCRATGTCYAYTDTAAGAGACATTTGGTAAAATTTAAATAAATAACATTTATGAAAAAAAATGTTGCAATATGTTTCTTTCAACCTCAGTACTTAAATCATGAAAAAAAATCTACATACCAAAACATTTTTTCTTCTGGGTCTCAGGAGATATAGCGCCTTTCATATAAATGTATTCACAAGGTGCTGTACAATCGGGGGTGGTGGTCAGGCAGTTAAGAACACCCATTCAAGAAGACACACATGACAAACATGGGGGGAACAGGTGAACCGGTCATGCAGCAACAGAGTTGTGCTACTTTTAACAGCTTGAAATACACAAAAGGAAAGGTTGAGTTAAAAAAAATCGCTCTGATCCAGGGTCACGTGCACACACAAAAAAATAAAAATAAAAATAAAAAAATTGCTTGAATCTATATTGAGCCCAGTCCTCCCTCTTCCCTGAGGACAAAAATGTATTACTTCCAAATGAGGAGCAGAGATTGTAGSAACAGTTTATGTTGCTTCGATTTAGCATTCCCCCCTCCCACCACACCAAGACCAGTAATGTAGGGGTAACACTGTGATGTGTGCCTGTATACTCCTTTTCATTTGTTCTACAAAACAAGCAACATCAGAAAAAATATATACAAAATGGTTACATCGTGTCAGTGCAACATATGCCATGTTTGCACCAATTCCACTGTAAATTTCCCACCTTTCATCTAAATACATACAAAACGTGTACAACAAAAACACATCATGATTTTCACGTGCTTCATATTTGACACAAGRCTTCGCTTTCCACAACATTTACTTAATTTCTTTAATCTCTAATCAAGCCTATTGTTAAGTGATGGCCCTCTTTTGCATGTGACTGCCCTCTTTGTCCACCATGGAGGCAGTGCTCTTAAGGCTGAGTTCACCTGAAACTCAAAGAAGTCCCTTGGACGAGAGATGAAATGTTTCACTAAAGAACCATCCTACTTATTTTTTCTTTTTGATTAATTTCTTTACATATTCACCGACATGAAAATAATTTAAAAATTTGCCACGCATAGCAAAATATGAGGCAGTGGAACACTATTCTAACAACATAATTTAAATCAAACTTGAAAATATTGCAACTGACAAAGTCAAAAGCAAAAAGACAAAAAAGAAAAAGAATAAAGCAATGATTAAAAATGAAATAAACAAAAAGACATTTTAACCTGCACTTATAAATGTGGCTCTTAATATGCAAGTAACTTTTCTGCTGTGTCATTGTCATATTCAACAGGCTCCTGCAGACAAAGTGCCAACCATGGCTAACAAACCCATTTGTAAAATGGACTTATGAGATCATGCCCTCAGTTAGAGCTGGCACACAAAGCAGGGCAAAGATGGCAGCGACTGATGCAGGGGCTTTCATTCCAATGTCAGTCTGCTGAAGCACAAACATCCTGTCCAGTCACTCATGGCTGTGTCTATTGAGACTGAAACACTTAGAGTAGATTAATCTCTTGAGGATATTTTCCATTTTTTTTAACACCCAGAGGGGATTATTTATATCAAGTCTTTAAAAGATTCTGAACAGAGACGTTTTCTGTGCTTGACCAAAAACTAGTCTTGCAAATTTAGGCTTTTGCAGATAAAACCTTTAGGGAACTTATTAAAAAAATTTACTGAAAAGAGAAACTGCTCTAATTTAAGTGTGTAGGTTTTATTCATGCAGTCGCTTCAGCAACAAGGGTTTTCTCTGAGTACTCCACTTTCCTCCCACAGACCAAAAATATGACTGTTAGACTAATTGGTAACTCTAACTTGTCCCTAGGTACGGGTGAGATCCTGAATGATTGTCTCATTTGTCTCTATGTGGCTCTGTGATGGACTTGTGACCTGTCCAGGATGTACCCYGTCCTTCACACAGTACGGCCCTCATGACACCATCAATTACGAAAAATTTTGTTGATAAAATAATCTCTGAAAATGATCGAGATACAGTGTGGTTGATTTCTGTTAGGTCGGCTGTGGCGGAGTGGTTAGGGGAATGGAACTGGAAGGTCGCCAGTTCAATCCCCAATCCGGCTGCTTCAGTTGTTGTGTCCTTGGGCAAGACACTTCACCTGGCCTTGCCTATTGATGGTGGTCAGAGGGTCCAGTAGTGCTGGTGCATGGCAGCCCCACCTCTGTCAGTGTGCCCCAGGGCAGCTGTGGCTACACTGTAGTTTGTCATCATCAGAATGT